AAAGAGTGCTCATGGGAACTGTTTGTGAATCCAAACAAATATGGGAAAGAAAAAAGAAAACGGAACAAAGTTTTGTTCCTATCAAAACTGTTCTTCATTGCATGACAGAAAAATTAATCTAAAGAAAATTTAACAATAAAAAGAAAGAAATGCTTCTAAGACTTGAACACGTATGGTACCCCATGGTTCAAGATTTCTCTAATTTCACTCTCCAAAATCTAATGGCCCGTTTGGTTAATGCGTTCAAGTCAGTGCTTTTGATTCTTAATTTAAATTTTGTGAGAGAACCCTTTGGCAGGAACTTTTTTTGATTGAGAGAACAGAATCATAATATGGGTTCAAGTCCTAAAACCAAATGGGCCCCCTAAGATATTTATGCTCTAATCACCTAAAATATTTGACCATAAAATTCTATCAGATAATCAAATTGACGGCAATAAAATGTTTAGGGATATTCGAAAGATTAGTCTTCTTATATGCATATAGTTGAGTAAAAGATTTCTTTATATTACCCTTTACTACTTTAAGCTAGAAGTGGACTTGCATTGCTCTTTAAAATCCAGTAAAGACAACTCGACTTGATAAAGCAGTTTACAATGTGGGATCAAACCCACGGCCTCCCAAACCCAAAATCCCACCCCATGCCATTTGACCTAGTGGTCATAGGCATCTTCACACAGCTTTATCATCCGAAAAGATAAGAACAGGGAAAACTTTTCTACTACAGAAGCATCAAATCAAGCAAGAAGTTGTAGACTAACCATTTTCCCTTGCATTATGATGCAAGTTGTCATTATATTGAAAATAGGAATCTAATTCTACTATACACAAAAAAGCAAAAACGCAGTGCTCCACAGGACATATCAAGACAACAACAACAACAACAAATACAAGCCTTAATCCCAAATTAATTGGGGTCGGCTATATGGACGCTTCAAGTAAATAGAAATCAAAGTTATCAAACTACACAGTAAAGTACCTGGGTTCCCAACCCAATACTTCTGCCATTCCAACAAACGACAAGAGAAATGGAGGACCAACTTTTGAAGCTTGAATTGCAAGCTCTCGGTGGCCAATATGAAGAGCATCAAACTTTCCCAGTGCAACAACTCCGCCTACGAATAATAAAAACAGTGTCGTAAGTTACATGTCTGAAGCGAAGGATACATAGGAACCTCTACAATTAAGCAAAAACAAACACAAACAAAATAAATGTAAAAGTTGCAGAAAGATGCCAAGTAAATACACAGAAAAATTATGTCCGAATAATTTAGGAACTTGAATGCGAGGAGCACCATACATGATTTGCATGAGGTAAAGCCATTAATGTCAAAAAACACAAATAAGAAGTTGTCTTGATTTTCCTACAGCGAAAAAAGGATAAAAAGGGCGTGAAGAGAGCATTAGTCTAAAAGAAACACACATATATCAACCATGATATAAAAAAAAATGAAGATTTGATCAGATTAGTTATGTGAAAAAGCTATGGAACAGAACAGATACAAAGTTGTTTCAGTATAGAGAAAGACAGAACAGAAGACATGCAGGCATCCCTTAAAGATTGAAACCTATAATATGTAAGGAAACGTGTATAACCTCTTAGATATGTGAGTGCCAAGATATATATGCACCATACAATCATAGTAGAAGTTTGAAGCTCGATGAAAAGGCCCAAGAAAAAATTTCAGAAATATACTCCATAGAGATTAAGCATCCATTTTCTGACTAAAAGAAACTGAAAAAAAAAACGGGGCTAGAAGTCTAACAAGACAACTTTCCATAAATCAATAGGTGATGCAAAATAAGGAGGAAAGGGGAAGATAGGGAAACAGGTGAAAATAACCTGCAACCGAGGACAATCCTTCGGAGGGAACATCACGATCATCTTCCTCTTGGCTTTTAGGGGAAAAAAATAAAAAAAAATAAAAAACAAGAGAAAGAAATTAAACTTTAGACAAAATATGACACAATCATAGACATCCAAAATAAAATATTTATGCATAGACAAGTACAGATACCCAAAAAAAAAAAAAAGGTCTTTCCCAACTGACATTCATCAAGAGGATCAATCTCAAGCAGACTGGACCTGTAAAATCCTCATAGCACATTTTTTTCACTCTGTTCCAGATTCTAGTTTTTAATTCCATAAGCCGTACGTTTTGTAAATTCTCTCAGAGAAAAAAATAAGAGCAAATTGTCTTTTATAACTTTCTCAAAGACCCCATATAATGTAACACAAAAGAAACAATTACAAGATTTTGAAGTCTTATCTTCCATAAATTTCTGTCATCAGCCAAAAGAGCGCAACTTTTGGTATTTTGCATAGAATTCCCAAGAACGGGTCCAATTAAGATGGTATTTTGCAAGTTTTTTCCCTGTTTCAATCATGTTTCTACACTTACTCTCAAAATGCATCCTCTTCTAGTTCTACGCCATGGCTTCTAACTCTCTAATTGCAAAAAGCTTGTGAATTTCCAAGTAAAATTCCAATTTTCTTCTAATTTTCAAACTTTCAATTTTCAATAGCACAATTAAGAAGGCATTCTCACTACACAAAAAAAAAAAGGAAGTTGAAAGTTGAAAAAAGAGTAGAACCTGAAGCAGCAGGTGGAGAGAATGGGAGAATCAGAATAGGCGACGGAATCAGAAGATGAGGAAGACAGAGTTCGGGGGTTAAGTCGATTGGAGCACGGGATGAAATTGAGAGGCCAAGAACAGGAGGAAAGGCGGGCGATGGTGGAGGAGTAAAACCCTAAGCTATGGCGGCGGCGGTCGCACTCCCGGAGGCGGAGCGAGATACGAGAGCCGCAGACGCCGCCAACGCCGCCGCCGGCCAACATTTGCATGCAGCGCCACAAACTCGAAACTCCAACGCCTCTGCTTTTCCGCTAAATTCAACAATACTTTTTTGAGTTTTTAATCTATACGTACTTTCTTGATTGCTGTAAAGTGTTACATATCATATTCCATCACATATGTGTGGGACTTTCGGCCACATCATATATAAGTGGGAGATAATTTGGTAGTTGGATTAGGATTTTAATTAATTAATTATCCATAGGGTGGGTGATAATTAAATTATTTTAATCATGAGAGGGTTATTTATTTGATTCAAATTTATTGGATGAATGTTACGTTCCACATTCATTTTAGACATCTAGTTACTTTTAGGGCACGTGTGGTGCGTCGTATTATATTGTATTGTATTGTATCGTATGAGTTGAGGTCAAATTTCGTACATAATTTCTCACTATATACGTGTCAACACACGTCTCGGAGAATGAGGATTTATCATAGAATCGGGCTATGAAATTAGTCGGGAGCTGCTAACAGCTTGCCAGCCCGACAGATTGTTAGACGAGTCTCCAGCGAACAACAAGCCATTTATCGAGTCCATGACTTTCCATATCACAGAATGACCTAGAAGAACAACTCCAGCACATCAAAATCGAGAGCGAGCTTCGGATAGCTCACAAGTTGCGACATGCCAGGCCGACAGCTCTTTTGACGAGCTACCGAATTGCCTGGGTGACTTGGCGCCCAAGTTACTAGATAAGGATCAGATTATGCACGAGATTATCTCTCTAAATCTCAGAGAATCTTATTTGAACGAGAATATCTCCTCTAAGAAAAGGGATAACTTTATCGCTTATTCAAATGTTCAAACTCAAACTTATTTACAGGATATCTCCTATCAGAATTCAAACAGAAGATCTTATCCTACAAAGATTCAGCCACCAATCCTATAAATATATAAGGGATTAATTGATGCTACAAAGCATCTCCTTCATGCCGAAGAGGACTATCTCCGTGCCCAGAGAATTACACACACAAGCCCTAGCCTCCACAAGCAATATTCAGAGTTCTGACGTTTTCAAAGGAGCCCCAGAGCATGTTTTACAGAGTTTAGGCTTAGATTCCACAGTTCTAGGCTTATTTTTCTTTATTTTCTCTTCTCATTTTTCTCTTAACGACATTGTAATTTTCATCAATTATAGTGGAAGCACACCGAAGGCCCAATAGTGGATGTGCCCTAGGTTATCAAGAGAATCACTATAAATCTCTTGTACCTCTGTCTCTTCTTTACGTTTTCCCGCATTTATTATCTATTATGCAATCTGTGGAAGCACAGATTTCAATTTCTAATCGGATAGAGATAGTCGACGGTCGACATTTAGATCTGTGTTCACTCTTAATGGAGGAGCCATGGTATGGAGAAGTGTAAAGAAAAAGTGTGTTGACGACTTTATCATGAAAGCTGAGTAAGTTACAGCTTGTGAAGCCGTAAAGGAAGCTATAAGATATTAAGAAGAACACCATGAAGAACACCATTCACTATAAATTCATATTTCAAACGAAAGCAAGCGTTGTCTTACCTTATTTCCAAACCACTTTGCAAATGATGATATTTGGGTACGCTGAATATCAAGAAGATCAACGCCTTCAGATTGCAATAATGAAACATGCTCACTGTCAATGATTATGTGTTAACTTTTGTTATTCTAAAAGGAAATGAGAAGGCACACATAAGGATCAACATCTTACTCCAAATATGGCTGTAACTTTTCAGTATTGTTTAGAATATACCAACGTACTTTTTCACGTTCATCTTGTGTCAACAAAATAGACTTTGGCTTCCCAAACAGTCTCGCACGTTGATGAAAAACTAAAATTGATGAGGATGGTCGGGGTTCAATATTGTCTGCATTACATTCGGGGTGATTAAACTGTGTTTCAATGTCGCGCATGTACATTGAACAATACGTCAATGCCTCACTAATAGTATAACCTTCTGCAATCGAGCCTTCTGGACGAGCTTTATTTCTGACATATTTCTTCAATTTCCCTAGTGTCCTGTGATATAACTCCTGAGAATTACACATGTTCGTCATTAGGAAAATCTCTAAACATATACGTAAATCCAGTCAATAGTCAGATACCTTTCAAAAGGGTACATCCACCTAGTATGCACTGGTCCAGCTAATTTTGCCTCCTCTAGTAAATGGTAGGCTAGATGGATCATAACATCGAAGAATGCAGGAGGAAAAATCCTCTCAAGTTTACATACTGTGTAAACTATACCTTCTTGTAGTGCATCTAAGTCATTTACTGACAATGTCCTTGCACAAAGCTGCTAGAAAAATGAACACATCTCAGCAATCGGACTCAACACATTGTCTTTCAAGTAAGGCCGCAATCCTATCAGCAACAGTCGTTGCAACAACACGTGACAATCATGACTTTTCAACCCCATGATTTTACCATCGTTAATGTTGACATTTCGGGACAAATTTGCTGCATATCCATCGGGAAATTTAGCTGATTTCAAAAATTGACAAAAAACTTTCCGCTTCGTAGTAGACAATGTAAAACATGCCGGAGGCTTTTTCCCCTTACCATCCAAGTGCAACTCCTTTCTTATATTCAACTCTTGTAAGCCCAAGGGAGCTTTTTTAGTGTCCTTTGACTTGCCATCTATTCCTAATACGGTTCCCACCAAGTTATCGCATATATTTTTTTATATATGCATTACATCAAGATTATGACGCAACTTAAGTTTCGACCAATACTCGAGCTCCCAAAAGATACTTTTCCGTTTCCAGTTACTATCGTTTGAGTACCCTGCTTTTGACATTTTTTTCATGTCAGCTTCACGAACTGCTACATCCTTTCCCGGCATAGGAACCCACAGCTTGCTTAGCTCTAACAATAGTTCATCACCCGTTTTTGATTCGGGAGGCATTCTTGTTTCAACAGAACCATCAAAATTCAAGTCGGAGCGCCAAGCATGATCCGGACTTAAATAACGGCGATGCCCCATATAACAAATCTTACTCTGTAATCAGAATGAAGCAGTTTCATCCATACACACCGGACAAGCCTCATATCCTTTGGTGGAGTAGCCGCATAAAGTACCGTATGCAGGAAAATCATGAATTGTCCATAATATTGCAGCACGCAAAGTAAATTATTTTTTTTCAACTACATCGTACGTTCTAACGCCGTTCTCCCATAACTCTTTAAGTTCATCAATTAGAGGTCTCAAATAAATGTCTATGTCTTTCCCCGGTGCCTTCCGTCCCGGAATTAATGTCAACATCATAATATGTGCCTTGTTCATACATCTCCAAGAGGGCATGTTGTAAGCCACCAGTAAAACTGGCCACATTCTATATGGATTTGCCATATCTCCAAACGGCGTGAAACCATCGGAAGCAAGACCTAATCTGACATAACGCGGTCCAGCTGCAAAATCCGGATATTGTTTGTCAAATTCTTTCCACACTTCCACATCAGCAGGGTGTCGAAGGACTCCTTCCGTCTCAGCACGTTGTTCCTTATGCCACCTCATATATTCAGTGGTGTGTCGAGACATAAATAAACGCTGCAATTTTAGAATGAGAGGAAAGTAGTGCATTTTTCTATGTGAAACTTTTTTCTCCTTTGCATTACAATTTGTATACCTCTTATGACCACATACCGGACATTCCTTCAAATATTTGTACTCTTTGTAATACAACACACACTCCTTCGGGCACACATGGATGGTCTTGTATCCCAACTCAAGCTTCTGCATCATCCGCTTCGCCTCATAATAAGACTTAGGAATTCTCGAGCCTTCTGGAAATGTCCCAGAAGTAACTTCAACAACATATCAAAAGACTTGTTACTCCATTGATTCAATACTTTTATATGGAGTAACTTCACCAAAAAAAGTCAATGCGGAAAACTTTGTGCATCCTTTATATAACTCTCTTTTGGCTTCAGCAAACAAATCTTCTAAATTAGGTGTCTCTTCTTCGCAGCCCCCAATATCATTTATTTCCGCACCATCAACCATTGAAGATGGATTGACGTGCGGAAATGCATCATTACCGAACATTAACAATAGTCAACACCACCTTTTTCAGTAGCTTTCTCAATTTATTTATGATATATGGCTTCTTTAGCCAACATTAACAATATTCATGAGGAGTTCAAGTCATACGACATTGAATTCTACGAACTCCACATCAAAACAATTGTAACCGCCGATCCTGAAACTGTAAACTGTTGGATTTCTGAAAACTTACATGAAAACTTTTTTCTAGGGTTAGACACAGAGTGGAAGATTCCCATCAACGTATCCAAGCCCAGATCACATGATCAGCACGTAACACTTCTTCAGCTCTGCACTGAGAACCGCTGCCTCATATTCCAGCTCTCCCATGCACCGGAGATTCCCCGGTCGCTGCCCGGGTTCCTCGGTGATTCGAACGTGACATTTGCCGGTGTCGGAGTCAAACAAGATGCAGAAAAGCTTATGAAAGATTGGGGATTGAGTGCGGGGAAAACAATGGATGTTGCCTTTTCAGCTGCTGAAAAGTATGGCCAAAGTGATTACAAGTGTAAAGGGTTAAAATGTTTTGTGGAGATTTTGCTGGGAATGAAGATAGTTTCACAATTTGAGTGACAATAATGAAAATAATACTTTGGTAGTAATGATATTTCTTTTTTTTTTTCAAGGGAAAGTAATAAATATTTTCGAATTATAATTAAATTTATGATTTCACATTGAGAAGCAAGTGTGCGATTGCTGCAGGGTATAATTGGTTAGTGTGAGGAGCACCAAGATATATGGAGACATTAGATCATTTAAGAATTAACTACTAGAAAAAGTGTGATTTTTGACGGATTGATTGCGTCGGTAAGTATTAAAAGGCATTGGTAAATTGATTTTTTAACGTCACTACAGCATCGCTAAAGGCGTTGCTAACTTAGCATAGCTAAGTACACTTAGTGACGTAGTCAACGTGTCGCTAAGTTGATTAGAAGTTGCTGGCGCCATAATGGCGTCAGCAAGTTACTTAAAATGTCGTTCCCCTCCCTATTTTAAAGAAAATTTACTGACGCCATTATCATCGGCAGTTTTCAAAAGATAAAATTCCTCACACCATCAAAGCATCAACAAATATCCTCAAAATTAAAATTACCTATACCTAATGCGTCGACAACTTCTTTATTTTTGAAGAAACCGTGCTTTTAATTGTTTTTTAACATAAATTTATATTGCATTATTATTTTGAATTTATTTATTAAATTATATTATTATTTTAAATATAAAATTAATAAATCACAAAAAATAATAATAACAGAAATCTGATAGCTCATATTAACTAATAATAAGAAAACATACATAATAGTTTCAAACATATTATCAATATCCAAAAGTAGAAGTCTAAAATATAAATTACATGAAATTAAAGGTTTAAACTGTAAGTCTAATAACATGGATCTCTCGAGATCACAGGACGATAAGCATCGTCGTCGTCATCATCATCCTGCGAAGGGTGTTGTGGTGGCGAAGGTAGAGGAAAGATGGTTCTTGGATCAAATTGAGCAAAGCATTCAGAAAATTGCATGTTCAGTTGAGAGGTTAATTGTTGAATAACTGACGTACATGCAGCAAGTTTGTGCTCGTATGATGCAAGTTTGTTCTTCAACTCCACTACTACTTCGTCATTCTCACTTTGTGCACCACAAGAAAACTGCATTATTAACATAATAACATCAAATAAAATATGTTGCATATAAAACTTGTTTATTTATAAAAAGTGCGTGTGTATTAATTAAAAATGATCACTCACGTAATCTTGTTCACCTTGCGGGTTGCACCATTGTTTTGTTTTGTGATTGGTATACATAACCCAGTAAAATTCAATGTCACCAATAAACTGATTAGTCTCCATTGAATCTGTAGCAATATTTTGAATTATGGTAAAAAAATGTAAATAAAATAATATATAACTAATAAAAATTCTTTATATACTAGTTCTCCACGATGAGTAGGATAGGATTTTGATCCATGTGAACTGTTATAGCCTTTTTTTGTTAAGCAGTTCTTCGTATTTTGCTTGGACAGTTCCTAAAAGAATTATACAAATTAATCATTGTAAAAAGTAATGTAAAATAAGTGAAAGAAATACCACCAGAACACTTTATGAAAGGTTTGAAACTTACTATTTGTTCCTCAGTACTCCAATAATCACAAAGCCACTCCTAATCTTTGAAGTTTGCAAGGAAGTATTTTAGTATACTTACAAGCATCCCTTTATAAATAGGGGCTTTAACTTTGTCACTTAGTTTGTTTAAGGGTACTTAACATCGAACCAGTAAATAAGTTTGCGCAAGAACTCCTAAATCATGTGCCCAAGCACCGTGATTGTGGCCAATTGCTCTCAAAGTCACTTCATCAAAATTTATTTTTAACTTTCCATCCTTACGCCTTTTTTGGGTGATTTTTCCAGTGTACATTCCCTTTCTCATTCCCTTTTTCGCCATTTCCTCCTTGTAAAGATACCATAATGGAAAACTTGTTTAAACAAAGATATTATAAGTCATCAACATAAATCAACCAAATATTCAACCTAACAAGTGAAATCATGAAAAGAATAAAAGAAAAAAAAATGATATCTCAAAAGAAAGCAAGACAAATACACTTAACATAATACGAATGAGCTATAAGCAGAAGTGCCTGTAACAAACATGATATAAATAAATACTCCTTCCTAAGAAAGTCGCACCACAGAGTTGCACCTCTCACAGTCAAGTCAACAAACGTTTATTAAAAAAGGCTTACATCACGTAGTCTCATTGTTCATAAATGTGTGTGTGTGGTTTATGTATGTATGCCCATTAACTACATATACATACACTGTCTAACTATAAAACCTAACCCCAAAAGACAGTACCGGCCCTAAATTCCATATTTCCTACTTGGGATCCAAATATAACAGTTGGAACATCCTATAACAGCGAACACCTAGAGTTTGTTCTTTTGGAGTTTAACTTGAATATAATTCTTAAGTTGAATTTGAGTTATAACTTATGTAACTTAAGTTTGTATTTGGTTGTGTACATTTGAGTTATGATTTGAGATAAGAATCTTTTTGAATTTGTGTTTGAGTGAGTCAAAACTTGAATTTGTATTTAAATAGTATTTTAATAAAAACTCAATGCTAATAAAAAATTTTAATAGGGTATATGGATCGGGTTTTATTCGTCTTTTCGTTGTCAACGCATAGAAAAAAAATCATCTCAATCAGAATTAAAATGAAAAAGTTATAGCATTTTTAAGAATAGAGAAAATACTGTTCATTAATTTGAGTTCGAGTTTCTGAACTCGAGTTGAAGGAGAAACTTGAACTCGAGTTTTAACCCTAAACTCGAGTTTGAACTCGAATTTAAACTTAAAAGAACATGAACTCAAATAAAATTATAATTCGAGTTGCTTTTTTTTTTAGTTTTTCACTCGAAAAAACAAGTGCCTAGTGTTTTGAGATGAATGAAAGAACAAACATTTTAACAAACACCAAATACGCATCGTTTGGGATCCAATTATTTAGTCAATATTAATAACCAGAATTCCTCGAATGTGAAAAATAGGCATGAGAAGGCAGATAAATCCAATTGATGAGAAACACTTAAAATAAAACCTACCAGACTTCCTAAAGCCTTTCAATGTTACTCAACACACAAAAGAAAGAGAGAGAGAGAGAGAGAAAAAAAAAAAAAAAAAAAAAAAAAAAAAAAAACCAGAAAATTCAAGCAAAAATATTCAAACAACTAAATATATACCGGATGCGTCAGCCTAGCTAGGTGGAAAACGATGGTGAGGGCGGCGGCAAAGAACTGGTGGGTGTAAAGAAGACGGCGGCGGTGTCAAAGAACCGGTGGGTGTGAGGAAGAAAGGAAGAGAAATTAATTGCGGAGAATTGGTGAGTAAGAAGAGGTGGAGAGAGTAAGAGACTGCGGTTCTAAGGGGATTTGAGGCAAAAAATCTGAGGAGTTGGTTCTATGGTGCTTAAAACCGCGCGCTTAGAGTAATTTGATATATATATCTATATATATATATATATAAACTTTCCCTCCTCCAAATAAGCGAAAGAAGAAGCTTATGGAGGTGGACGCTTATCATCCCGTGAGTTGTAACCTTCCATTAGGAGGGGAAATTTGAGGGTGGGGTCTCCTTTTTTATTTCTTTTTTTTTTTTTTCAATTAGCAAACATAACTATATATATAGCATAGTATATCTCCAATTTAATATTTAAAACGAGATACATAAAACTTTATATATATATATATCCCATCTTAAGACTTTTTTAAACGTGTTTAATATTTAAAACTTGATACATGCATTCTTTTTGTTATTATTTTTTTGTTTATTTGCTTAATTAGAAACGAATATGAAATCCCATTAAAGAAACAGATTAAATATTCCTTAAAAGCATAATATAAAATCTTATATAAAAAAAAAAAAGGCAATTGCGTTGAACAAAAATATCTAAATATAAAAAAGTATGCAATTCGTTTGACTAAGATTAAACCTGGACATCTACCCCTATTCTTCTACTAGTGACAATTCATCTATTAAGTCAATGTGCTCATCACTGTCATAGTCGCTTTTGATCGTCTTCCCTGACTTCGTCATCTACATACTCTTCTAGAGTTTCATCTACTTCCTCCTCCATGAAGTCATCCACATCAACATTACCATGTTTAACTATGTTATTTACATCACTAGTGTAAATTTATGGATCTATATCGAGATGATGGACTAATACTGCGTCCATCTCAGACTCCATACAAGTGAAGTGTCCATCTGATGAATTATCTTCCTGCACAATGTCATCATTTTCAACACTCTCTTCGGTAGGAATATCCCATAGATGTCTATGGCTAAACGTTTTTGCAACTTGCCACAGTGCACCTTTGAGTGGATCAATCATGTAATATACTTGCCGAGCTAGTGGATCAATCATTCAAAATGAACCAATGTGCATCATTCCAAAACTTCTTATCAAGTCTGATTAAGTCCTTCTTTCCTATAGGACGACCTAGATGTCGAAAAACTGACAACTGTGTTTGAGAAGTGTTGTTTGGTCGATCACAATTTTGTTCAGGTCAATTGAATCTTGTTTCTATCCCATGAAAATACATTGAACAGAAAGTCAAAGCTTCATTCACTATATACGCCTATGCAATTGATTTTGCATCAACTATAAGATCCAATGACAAGCTCAGGACTGCAGGACAAGTAATATAACTCATTTGTTCCCTCTGAAGAGCCAACCATCTAAAAAAAGAAAGACAAATTTATTTAAGTTTATTACAAAGTTGACAAAGTTAATCTTATCATGAGTACTTACTCGTTTCTTAAACCATGCAAGAAATTCTTGTTTATGCTTTTTTTTCAAGTCTCGTGAATATTTTTTCTCCAGCTTTTTCATGTGTTCACTACACAAATTTATTGTAAATATACATTAGTTTAAGCACAATTTATAGCTATAAAAAGCACATAGTGTAGACAAATGTACTTATTCAAGATATTTTCTAATCTCTGGACAGTTATTCAAAATGAACCAATGTGCATCATTCCAAAACTTCTTATCAAGTCTGATTAAGTCCTTTCCTATAGGACGACCTAGATGTCAAAAAATTGACAACTGCGTTTGAGAAGTGTTGTTTGGTCGATCATAATTTCGTTTAGGCCGATTGAATCTTGTTTATATCCCATGAAAATACATTGAACAGAAAGTCAAAGCTTCATTCACTATATACGCCTCTGCAATTGATCCTTCTGGGCAAGTTTTATTTTGAACATATTGTTTAAGAGTTCTCATATATCGTTCTAGAGGATACATCCATCTAGCATGAACTAGATTGCCAAGAATAGCTTCTCGAGGTAAATGTATAGCTAAATGAACCATAATATCAAAAAAGGTTGGAGGATATATTCTTTCAAGTTTTGAGAGAATAACAACAATCCCTTTTTTTAAATCTTCTAAGTCTTTGACATGTAAAGTCCTCGAGCATAATTGTTTAAAGAAATTACTTAACTCAGAAAGTGTATCTTGTATTTGTCGTGTTAGAAATGGCCTAATTCCAACTTCCAACAACTGTTACAAAAGCACGTGATAATCATGCGACCTCAAACCAGAAATTTTGCCATCAACTACATTAACAGTCCTTCCAATATTCCCTGCGAAACCATCTGGAAATTTGACAGACTTAAGGAAATTACAAGATTTTCGGTGCTCATCTTTAGTCAATGTGTTGGCCGCATGGGGTTTAATCCACTTGTCTCCTGACTTTTTCAAATGCAACTATCTCCTTATCTTCAAGTTTACAAGGTCTATTCTAGCTTTATCTGTGTCTTTTGACTTCCCTTCAATACTAAGTAAAGTACCAACTACACTATCACAAATATTCTTCTCAATATGCATAACATCAAGATTGTGTCTCAAGTCAAGCTTTGACCAATATGGAAGTTCAAAGAATATACTCTTTTTCGTCCAGTTAAGTTGATTCTTGTCATGCTTACGTTTCTTTCCGCCAAAATTAGGATGCTTTCCAGGAACAACATTAACATGTTCAAGTTGTTTCAACATTTCCTCACCATTTCTCACCCTTAGAGCCATCCTTATTTCCACAAAGCCATTAAACTGTTTGTCTCGACGAAATAGATGTTCGCTATCAAGATAACATCAATGCCCCGTGTAACCCGGTTTACTTGTAAGACGACATGAACAAGTATCTTCATTACACGCAGAACATGCCATATATCCTTTTGTACTCCAACCAGAAAAATTTCCATAAGCAAGGAAGTCATTTATCGTCCACAACAATGCAACATGCATCTGGAAATAGGCGTCTTCCTCTTTGTCATATGTTCGAACTCCTCTTTCCCATAACTCCTTAAGCTCATCTACCAATGGGCGTAGATAAGCATCCATATCTTTTCCTAGAGTTTTATGTCTAGGAATCAACAATGTCATGATGAATGCGGACTCCTTCATACACTTCCACAACAACATGTTATACAGAACCACAATCACAAGCCACATGTTATATGCGTTGCTCATGTTTCCAAAAGGATTAAACCCGTCAAAAGCCAATGCTAACCTCACATTTCTTGGCTCCTCCGCAAAGTCAGGATACATCTTGTCAAAGTTCTTCCATGCCTCTCCATCAGTTGGGTGTCTTAAAACTCCATCAGCTAGGTGTCTTGCTTCTACCAACTTCATGCCACTTCATATCTTTTGCAGTATGGCTTGATTGATATAACCGTTTTAGACGAGGCTCTAACCTAAAGTAATGCAATACCTTATGAGGAATATATTACCTCTTGGTGTCTTTATCAACCCAACGACTCGTCTTACACGCCAGACACTCTTCTAACTTTGCATTCTCCATCCAAAACAAGACACAATCATATTTACAAGCATGAAAAGGCTCATACCCCAAGCCAAGAGCGCGTAAATATGATTTTGCCTCGTTATGTGAACTCGGTAACTTTGCCTCTGGAAATGCCTCAATCAACAATCTGAGCAACATGTTAAACATTTTGTTACTACATTTTTTCATTACCTTCACATGCATCAATTTGACCAAGAATGTCAATGCCGAAAACTTTTCACAGCCAGGATATAAAAGTTTTTTCAAATCATCAAACAGTCGATCAAACTGCTCAGGAATTGTTGATCCTCTTGGAATTTCAGTTGATGCATCCATAGGATCTTCATCATCATCATTTTCCACATGGACATAGCTAGACCTGACAATATCGTGTAATAGATCATAACAATCATCATTTACCTCAGCATTAGGCGCAACTTGTTCAGCTGTAGGAGGATCACTAACAGTTTCACTATACAAAACTCAAGTATCTCTTTTATATATTTCTTGCATCCCTCTATCGATCAAATGAGCTTGACCTATTCTTGCCAGATACCAGTATATATTACCACAATCACGACATGGGCATCTAATATACCCCTTTACATTAGCTGAATTTTGAGCTCTTTGGATAAACTCTCGAACCCCAATTATGTACTCCGAACACAATCGATTAGGCAACGATGTCCAACTATTGTCTATAGACATTTTTGACCAACTAAAAGAACATAAAAAATATTAAAGTCAATACTTTATATGTAAATCAAACAAAAAAAACCATGAAAACTACACATTTAATATTATTATATATGATTTTTTTTTAAATATTCATTTTTAATTATTAGAAAAGACTAGGTAACGAAAAATAATAATAACAAGAACAACGACATCAACAACAATGATAATAATAATAATAATAAATTATAGTAATAAAAGAATGCTCACCTTCAAAAAAAAAAAAAGAAATACTCGGCGATAAAAAAACAAATAATAACAACAATGACAGCAACAACAATAACTACAACAACAATAATAATAAGAATAATAATAATAAAAAGAACATTCACTTTTCAAAAAAAAAATACTCACACAATCTATTAAAAACGTCCAGCTAAAGAGAAAGAAATATGCACATAGATTGAGGAGGTTTGAGGGGGAGAGAGAGCAGGAAGTTTGAGGGAGAGAGAGAGCGTTGATGAAGTTTGAGAGAGAGAGCTTTTAGGAGAAAGTTGTGATGGGAGAGAGTGGTAAAAATCGGCTTTTTGTTTTTATTTTATAGTTTCATTTAATGAGTTCTATTAGGAGTTGAAGATTGTATTCAAAATTGAATTTGTTTTAATTTTTCCCATTAAAAAATTATTTAATTCTTAAAATTTTCTGATTTCATAACGTGAGGAAGTTTGTTATTTCTTGTTCAAAATTATTTTACTTAAAAACACAATTTTCCAATGCCTTTGCACATTGCGAAATTTTTGAAAGTTACATATCCCAAATTTCAAAAACTTCCCGACGCTACATGGTGTTGTAAATTTAATTTCTAAAAATTTCCTGACGCTTACATAGCGTCGAAAAATTATATCTCAAATCTCAAAAAACTTACCGACACTATATGGTGTTGTAAATTTAATTCCTAAAAGCTTCTCGACGCCTACATAGCGTCCGGAAATTATATCTCAAATCTCAAAAAACTTCCCAACGCTATATGACGTTGTAAATTTAATTTCCAAAAACTTCCCGACACCTACATAGCATCGGAAAATTAACTCCCAATTCTCAAAAAATTTCTCGACACTATATGGCATCGCGAACTTAATTCCTAAAAACTTCTTGACGCTTATAGGCGTTGGGAAGTTTCTAGTCAACAAAATCCACCTCATGAGGAACCAAATAAACTTACCGACGCTAACATTTTAAAATAGCGTCAATAAGTGTGAATATTTCCACCGATATAAAAGCGTCTAGAATTATTAACTAAATACATCTTTTCTTGTAGTAGACATTGTGCATCATAAACAGGAGTAAAGAATCTTTATTTGTCATAAATTTTGCTTCTTAAGTACGAACACTCCACACTCTCATAAGTATAGTTTAAATCATTTAATGTAAAATCAAACTTGCACCCTCTCAAATCTAAGTCTCATCTCACTATCTCATATCGTTTAACCTATTAATCATCACCAATTTTATTCTCAAAATTTTTGGTTAATAATAAAGTTATATATATATATATATATATATATATTTATGAGGAAAGTCATGACTTGGATACTGTGAAAAATTTGTGTTTTGCTCAGGTGGGTTGTAACATAACTAGCTAAGATGTGAGTCACACCATTCTCTTGACGGGATGTATGACAAACATAAACTCCGAGTGTGGGAAATACTTGGCTTTGAGTATGTTAGAAGTCTTCAAACCCTGCTTAGCTAGAAGAGATTTATTAAGTTGATTACACTCTCTATGATTTATAACAAACTTATAAACTAAGTTGGATATAAGTTTGTTGAGAATCATGGAGATTGCAATATTGTAGGATAAAATACACTCTGAATTTACCAACTTGAACTTCTATTTCACTTGTATGTTGCTTCATAATTTTTTAATAACTCAAATGTATTCCTTGATGTTAAGTTAGTCCAGTAGTAAAATTACTCTAGGTGAATTTGACTTGTTGATGCTATTTGTTTTTTTTTTTTTTTTTTTTTTTTTTTGGGGTTCAATGCTATTTGTTAATGTTATGCATATAATGAATCATTAGGCTTTAGTTCCTCACAAACCTTGCCGTTTGATTTATAGAAACGTTGTATTGGCAATTAATTAACAAATTGTTAAGTTTAATAAAATTTGAGGAACTATGTTTAATTTAATAAAAAAATACAGCTGTTACAACTTTTCCTTTTTTCTTTTTTTACGGTAAAATGCACCGCGCCTTGAATATAAAAACAACTTTTGTATGTAGCTAATTTCTCCACAGCTCTAGGAATTGACATGTCAAAAGGTTCTATGCAAAAAACAACCAGAACTTTTTATCAAACAACCAAAATGGTTATAAATAAGCACTCAATGACATTAGTTATTCCACTGCAACGACATTATTACAGTGAAAATATAAGATCTCGCATTATAAATGAAAAATGATATACATATTGCCATTACCTCTGTAGCGTACCAAATCGTTTGTAACAACAAAACTCGTGTCACAATTTCTCTGTGCAATAACCGTGTGAGCATAAACAGATAAGGGGCTAGCAAAAACAATATGAGAACTAGCCCAATTACAGATAATAATTCTAGTAACCCAATTACAGATAATCAGTATTCTTTCTCACCAATCTCTTTTTGACTTTTTTACTTCACATTTCTGAAAGCAGCTTTCATTCCCTGAATGTAGAAAAATATAAAAGGGAACTTACATTATATTTGACCAGATCCAATAACTGTGCTTCTGGTTCAGTTTATCCTCGTACTGTTCCTTCTTGCCCACCACTTCTTTTTCGCCCGGTCAACGGGACCTTCTTCACTTCCAAGCTTATGCAGAATGACCTTCGTTTCCCTCAGTCTTCCCCCATAATCTTTCTTCCAAGCTTCAAACATTTGTTTCAACCTTCTCAGCTCCTTGTCGGGATTTAGACTCGCATCAACTTGACCAGATTTAACCTCCACCAAGAACTTGGCATCATCGCCAAACACTTGACTCCTCTGCTCAAATTCTTCGGCCAACCTACTTATAACACTTAAACCTGCACTCATTGGTCTTACCCCATTGCTCTCTTGACCTTTATGGCTTCCCGTGTCCCAGCTGTACTCTCGGTCTTCACTAGCGTTCACTGAAGCATCGGAATTTCTCTCCGAATCGTCAATTGCTAGACTCTTCTTGGCAATGGAAAGGCTTGATTGCAAGGATCTCATTTGTTTCTGCCATACTTCTTCCATAGATTTCATTTTCAACTCGTATTCTGACCACCGATTCTCGTACTGTTGGAGACGCTGGTGGAGGATATCATTCTCCTCTTCCTTTTCCCGTAAAGCCGCTTCAGCCTTCAGAACACGGCGTTGCAATTCAGCAAGGACAGATGCCTTTACCAGCACTTCATCTGACTCATTCGCCTGTATCAACAAACAAAAATATATTTCACAAACTAGATTTAATAAATTCGAAAATACAATTTATAAACCAGAAAATATGCAGGGAAATAGAAAAGTTATAATAAAGATTCATTAGATACAAGCAAAGGGAATTGAGCTGTACCTTTGTGCCAGTAAGTTTCAATAGTCCAATATCTCCGGAGTATCGCCTAACCAACCAGCCACGAATAGCTGCAAGATTACATCAAAGAAGTGATAAGAAGAGGGGGCAAAGGGCTGATGCTACAAGAAGTTAGCCTAGCCCAAGAAATTATGGAAAGCACGTAATGCTGGATTTAGACTTTAAAGTTGACTTTGAAGCTACCGACTAAAACATCACAGATTGAAGAGGTTTTACTTGCACAGCTAAAGAAAAATTTTCAATTACGACACAACCATCTAACCTGCAACCTCTCCAAAAGCCCCAGTACGCCCAACACCCCCACCCCGTTTCATAAATGAATACAAAGAATTAGTATCCTGACTTCAAACCGAACACAAATTTGCATTGCACCCATTCTATAATTGTTTGGGCTTAGATACAAAAGTATCATTTGCCCACGACAGAAAACTATCATGAACAACTAGATAGAGCCGGGCAGATAGACTTAATCAGAGACCATGCAGTTTCAGAATAATAAGCGTACCTGATTGTATCACGATTGACGCATCATGAGTACTCTTCAAATTCTTCCTGGCAATCCTGTTCTTAATCTTCCTTTGTATAATAACAGCGGCTCTATGTCTCTGTACTGAGACTTCATATTCCCTTCTAGCTTTTTCTCCCCGTACAACTGCATGAATAAATTAAAGATTTGTTTTACAAAGTCAAGAGTTCACTTCTTAACAAAGAAGAAATAGTAAAACAATTGAAAAAAAAAAATGGAAAACCATGCATAATACTATACATGATTGAAGTGTAGTTATTCCTCTCCTAAGCTCCTTTAGATAACAGCGAGCTTGGTGCCCTCTAAAGCAGCTTTGAACACGTAGAACACCATGAAGGGTACGGTTTCTTGTGTCCTCAAGGACCCCAATCTGCAAGGATTGTCGTCCGCCATTTTAAATCACTAATGGTAAGGCACATTAAGGATATATGCAATCATATACTGAACAAAACGACTGCCTCAACATTTAAATTCACAAAAACAATAATAAGTAAATTATGGATCAAGGTATATAAATTAGCATTAATCCATTAGTATTTCTCAACATGAAAAAATAGAAAGAACATGCATTTATTGATGCCAGAATATAGATAGAATAATCATAATTTTACAATTTGATTTTTTCCAGTCCACAAAAAGATTCCAAACATTTTACAATGAAAATTACAAATTAAAGTCATTAAAGTTGTCATGCAAATTACAAAGTCATTATATTTGTCTCATTATCCAAATTCAAAATTTCAAGTCCTAGAACATTGAAAATTTCAAGATGCTCTCCAAAAAAAATAAAAATAAACCAAAAATATACAAAAATAACAAAATAACGAAGGTTCCAAGTTACCTGTCCAGTTCGGAAAAACAACTTTGTGTAGCCAACTTGATACATCTCGGGTAAAATATTGAATTGGTGAAGAATTGCAACCGAAACACTAAGTGGATCTTGAGATGTAACACTCTCCGAAAGAAGAAAACCATATCTAATACACAATTTAGAAGATACATTCCCACCACCAAAGGGAAGAGAAACGGTTAGATACAACACTTAATACACAACATACAAAACTCCAATGTCCTTAGCACAAGAGAAATGTCTTGTATTACCTTCTTGCAAACTTCTGATGAGACATCCTCGTAGGGAAACCAGACCTTGATATTCGAACCACTTCTAAAACTCCACAACATCTAAGCTGCTGCAGAACAAGTTCTTGCTCGTATAATCCAGCAGACTGAAGATTGTTTGGCTTGATACAACGTATGAAATGTGGGGTTGTATTTTCTAGACGTTGCATCAGCTGGAATAATTGACCCTAAATTCAAAAACTGACAGTTAATGAAATGACTACAAAGATAGATGATATTTTTAACATTGTTCAGTTCCAATGTGTGTGTGCACGTGTAGATAGTATCTTTTATCTCTAAATGTATCCAATGCATTAAAGAGCCTAAACGGGATTATCGATTGCCTTGTCATGCTCTCGAGCATTCATTTGTTCCATTGCTTTTCCTATTTTTTTTCTTTTTCGTAGGAAGATTAAACCAAACAATGAACCTAATTCACTTCCTTCTCTTTGGACTTCTATCGGACTCTGTTGCTTTCTATTTGGTGAAGTTGCAAAAAAATAACATGTATCAAGCATACAAAAAACCTTCTCTGGTATTTTGTTCAGATAAGAAATTTTGACATTTCACAAGTGGAAATTATCCCCATATTTAAAATGTACACTGTGGACTTAAAAAATAATTAAAGCAGTCCTGGACCCCTGGTATAAACAAGGTTGAAATGAGCATCATAGTAATAAGAGAAAAAGGGAAAATAATGATCCCCATATTGAAATGTACATTGTAGAATGAAAGGATTATAAAAACGTCCTGGAACCCTGGTATAGACAACGATAAAAGAGATCACAATAGGAGCAATAGGTAATGTATACAATTGTTGACAACGGAATGGCACCAATTACTTTGCATCCTTATCGTGTTTCGTAATCATCTAATCCTCCCAACTCCTTGTTTTTCATTGACGTCCAAAAATTTTTGCAACTTTGCAACTTAGAGATTACTCTCAGCCCTAGGTACTTCCTTTCCGGTCAAGTCAAATCCCTTTTTCGGTTTTTGCATTGCACCTTTCTATATTATGACGACTTTCAATTTTACTGCACTTATTTAGCATCATGATCACAGAGTATTTACAAGGAACATAAACAAGAGGTTCGTCCAAGATACTAATTTGAGTTCAGATAAATGAAAAATATATATATATATAAATATAGATATAAAAAAAAGATACTAATTTGAGTGTCAATGAAATAAGGTTAATATCAAGTTTTGAAACACCTTGAGCTACCTTAAATTTTGTTGCAACACTTAGTTTTTGGGAATCTGCACCACCTGATTTGTATAAAGGACCAACAACAGGCTTCTCAGATTGAGCAAGCATATTGGCAGCGAATTTCTGAGGAAGGTGGCATGAGCACGAGGACATGAGTTGAATGGAATCCATATGTAGCAAATCTCTGTTCTTCTCCAGAAATCCACTTGTGTCATACGTGACCTGAGTAGAGAATCCAGTGCAATTATTAAACATACAGGTAGCAAGAACCAAGGTTATCAAAATCAAACATTCTCATTGGATGGAGAAAAGGATTGCCTAAAAATCACATTACAAAAATATTTTGTAAAAACACAAAAAATAGGCACAGATTTTAGGAAACTTTTAAAGACCTTAAAACCTGGCATAAATCAAGTTTATCGTTCAAAAACTAGACTGTGGTTTGAAAATTAGCTTAAGAGAAAGCCTTTATTTGTTAACTATTAAGTGCATGCATGACTACTACTAATAGCAAAAGAGGATCATATTGGTAAAAATGCTTTTTTACATTACAGGAATCCACTGGGCATGTTTAACTAGGAACAAGGAAGATAGCTTCGTTAGAAAATGAAAAACCGACAGATAAAGAGCTGGCAAGTGCAGGGTTCCACATTAGAGCATTGTAGTCACCAGTGAAAGCTAGAGTGACTTATTGGTGCCCCCATCCCCAATTGATAGCCATAAACAAGGAAAATAATGCAAATTATTTAAGCTTGTCAGCCCTTTTCCGTTCAAAATTTTGGCCCACATACCTATGCCAAAAGTACAACATGCCCAGGGGAATCCCAAGATGCTAAACAACTTCCCCATCCAAAATCCAAATTCCATAATAACAAAAGAAAAAAATGATAAAGGACAATAAGAATGTGAAAACAATTTATCGCATGGTCAATACCTCCCCTGCGTAATGAGAGACAGTAAATGCTTTCTCTCGTTCTCCTCTGAAACAAGAATTCGATTTTAGATGCTGCTTAAGCTTATTGGCAAAGGTCAAATCAGTGCCATTAGGGAAAGTGGACTCTTCATCCAAAAGGGATAGTAATCCCAATGGTTTCTGCAAAAGGTAAAAGAAATTGCAAGAAAATGAGACGATAAATTGATTCCAAACATTGTGTCGGCATTCAAGAAAAAATTTGGACATGCAGTAATCATATTATCAATGCTGCAATTGTAATCTTCAAACATTTTGGGACAAGGCCAAAAACAATACATATTAAAGGAAATCGACTCCAATGAAACATCTTTCAGATGTTATGAAAACAAATACACCAAGCAATAAGCATGCACTTGGATCATTTTTTACAATAAGTACTATGCTTCTCCTTTGCATATGAAATACTCAACCATAAATCACGATCTTCAATAATGTGATTCTTTCATTTACAATTCCGTCTGGCTTCCTTGTTACCAAACTTTACAAGAACCAGGTCAAGACAGTCTTAGACAGAGACTAACCTTTTCAAAAAGTCTAAGACAGTCTTGGTTGTCTTCAAATTCAACCTTTGCCCAGTCAATCCCATCTTGGATATATTCCTGAAAAGGAATAATCAGGTGAAGAAAATAAGCATGTGCTTGGCCTTGGCTGTTTTATAGCTCCATGCTAAATTTATTTCAAGGGACAAGAACACAAAAATAAATCAGGATTCGTTTAAGAATATGGCACAGAGTCGAGTGGATAATGGACTCCCTATAGAAAATATTTGAGAAAATAGTTTGATTTTACATAAATTTATACTACACTATTAGGTCTCAGAGGAATCAAGATCCCCGTAAAAAATCAACCATGGATTCACCAAACTAAAAAATGAAAAAGATGCAATGTTTAACACAATTTCTCAGGATGCCACATTCAAGACGCTTTTGGCCCGTTCTTTTCACAACTGGAATCACAACTCAAACTTTTTGCTTAGTCTTTTCTCTCCCAAAATTTCAAATTCAACTTTTTCGCTGCAGTGTTTTCTCTCACGTAAATTCACTTTTCAACTCAAGTTCTCAACTCAAACTCGAGAAAAGAATGGACACTTTGTTTCCATTAGCATAGTTAGCTCATCATAGTGTTACTTAAGATTTTCAGATTTTGGATTCAAAACACTACTTTGGTTTTCAACCCAAAATCTGAATTCACACACAAAAAGGATTTAAGAAATAAAGAACGTATTGATTCTTTAAACACTTACCCTGGTCAAACCAAAAACAATATCGTTTTCCAATCTAGTAAAGTTTTTGAGATTTTGAAAATGAGGTAAGTGAAGAAGTGAATTCATATTTTTCCTTTCACAGAAGAGGCAGTTTTTTTCTCTCTTTTTTTATTTTTTATAAGACACGAAGAGCTAGGTCCAGATAAATATATGTAATTTTTAACAAAGTTGTCATCCACAAAAGAAAAATCATTTTCCATAGAGCTGGACAGCGAGGAGAATAACAAACTTAAGTAACTTCACTGCAAGATTTAAGAAATCTAAAGATTATAATTATCCTAGATAATTTATCTTTTTGTTCAAAATATGAATCAAGGACCATGTTTGTTCAAAATAGATGGTCTAGGTATCATGCAATTGCAAACTATATGCATTCAGCAAGGACCATGTTGCAATCAAGGACCATGTTGCTGAAAAGAAATTTGCAGATAGGAAGTTTCTCAACAATTAGCAGTGCCATGTATGCAATCAGCAAAGAGAGAAACGTAAAACAATTAAACGGTAGGCAGCCGACAATTACTAAAGATTACTCAAAAGTTTTAGTAAGTCAAACAATTTTTTGATGAAAGTATTGAATAATTACCTCTTGTTCTAACTTGAATAAATGACGATTAAAGTGCTGCTGCAATCTCTCGTTCGCATAATTAATACAGAACTGTTCAAAACTATTCCTCTGCAGAAACCGATAAATGGCATATAGATAAGCAACTGATATCATCCATATACAGAGGTGGGTGGGTGCGTGTGTGTGTGCGTGCAGGTGGTGGCGGGGGGCTGGTTTGAGAATAAAGAATGGTTGAAACATACATCAAATGATTCAAAGCCATAAATATCAAGAATGCTAATGGATCTGCCAGTACGTCGTTTGCCTACTGCAAGTGATTTGTTAATTTGTTCAACCAGCCATTCAAACAGACAAGCATAAATTGACTTTGCCAGAGCGTCCCTTGTGTCAATAGCCTGGTTAAACAGCAGAAATGTAAATATAAATGAGAAGACCACAAAAAACTAAAATAAAAACGCAAAGGAAATGTAAAGATGGCCTACAATCAACAATAATTTTAGTGAGAGATTAAATAAATTGCGATAAGCAAGGTACTGATGAGAAACAACTGAAATCTGCTTGTCAGTAGATTAAATAAATTGATCTTTCATGCAACAAACGACGAGATAGATTCAAGCAAAGACTAGTATTTTACACTCAAATTATATCCAGCACAAGCTGACAATAATAATAATAATAACAATGATGTTATTGGAAACGAAAAGTAAGTGTGGAACATTAACAATCACTAACTATGCATCTGTTTCATAGGTTTGAACTACTGTTCAAACCCTTTTGCTATAGTATTTTCTCTCATAAAATTTATATTTATGTTCAGACCTATGAACCAAACAGGCCTTAAGCCTTTAAAAAGACAATAATATAATAACAATGCTAAATGTTATTAGGATGAGACGTAAAGAAAACACGTTTTTCCAGGAGAAAATACACTTCTTACTTGTGATAGTTTCAGCTTTTGGACAATATTATCATTCCCAACTCTCATTTTCCGAGTTGACAAAGCTACTTTAAGTTCCTCAACACCGCATCCGATCAATTCAGCAACAGTAAATAGACCTGAAATGAAACTCGAAACCTTCAATAACATCAAACAAAGCTCAACCATGGCACAAGAAATTTTGAAGGCATCTTTTGTAGTACTCATATAAGAATGCATGAAGCTATTAGGAAACAAATGAGGAAATTGATGAGCCCCCAGTGTGCTTCGCATTTGCAATGAGTGCTAAAGCACGTGCCTGGACTATGAGTTATGGAGTGTTAATGGGGACCGGGCTGTCGGTGAAGGGAGAGGGAACATGTAAGGACGTGGTATTGACCCTACAGAACATTGAGATAGTGGGTGATTTATGAGGCTGGTGCCAAACAGCCAAAACAAGTAAATATCTGTTTGATACAGATTAATTCTAATATCTGTGGAACTCTAATTTTGTGGCTTAGGAAATTCTAATCAATAAAGAAAGCTTCATTTGGTGTAAATCTAATGTGGAAGATGTTTCTGTTAAGATGATACCAACCAAAACCAGTATCCAAAGTTGAAACTCAAATTTTCAACCATGGCAGTTTCGAATTCAATTTTCATTTTTTTTTTTTTATAAGAAACGAAAGAACTTTATTAATGAAAAAAGGGAACAAGGAGTCCACCAACAGAAACAGAAATACAAAAATGATAGACTAAATGCTCAAGGCTGTTAGTGAATTCTACAGAAGTACCATGAAATTAACTTTTTCCCACATAATGCAACATTAAGCCATCCAAAAAATACTAATCTTGTTAGAAAATCCAGATTGGACATAGAAGCAATATTCATGTTTCATGATGCAAAATCGTAGGTAAAACCTGTGCTCTGGAAAAATCTTTTCTATTTAGCTTCTGGAAGGTGCTTACCTTCATCTTCCACAACTTCAACATGGTTTTCGTTATCTATCACATTAAAAGAGATGTTTCCCAGCCATAACACTGCAGCAAGCATTGCAAATACACTTTCTTGGTCATCTTTGCTTACATGAACAACATCCAGAGCTTCCTGAAACAACAACAACAATGCAAAGTTCATATGCAGAAGTCCAGACATTTCTAAGATAAAAATGCAAGATAAAGTTTCAAGTCTAAAAGAAAGCAAATGATCAGAAAAAGATACCATGACAATACGAAATTGCTCAGCGTCATCAACCCCCACGATTGAATGACAACTGCTCTGACTCAGATACTTATACTCACTTGCACTCCTTAAATTCAGTTTTCCTGTGACAGAAAATTGGAAGGAGAAAAAAAAGGGGAGGGACACATTATTAGACAGTATGCAGAGCTACCAGGAAGCTGCTTACAGTAACTAACAGTTTTTTTTTTTTTTTTTTTTTTTTTTTTTGGCTGAAAACTAACACTGAGACATTTATGGTTGTGTTTGTGCACATGTTGAACAGGTTGGACGAAAACAGAGTAGAGAGAGAGAGATTATCATTCAGGCAGAGAAAATAAAGTTTTTATTTAAGTGCCAAATTTTCAGTTAGAACTACCAAAAAAGGACAAGAAAAAGTGATTAAAGTTTCAGAGAATGAATTATGGAATTATCTTGGTCCTACACTGAGACATTTATGGTTGTGTTTGTGCACATGTTGAACAGGTTGGACGAAAACAGAGTAGAGAGAGAGAGATTATCATTCAGGCAGAGAAAATAAAGTTTTTATTTAAGTGCCAAATTTTCAGTTAGAACTACCAAAAAAGGACAAGAAAAAGTGATTAAAGTTTCAGAGAATGAATTATGGAATTATCTTGGTCCTAGAAACAAATTACCAATTGTATAAGGAAAATGGAATGAACGCATTCATCATAAGCTACTGGAAGATAAATACCAAAGGTAAGATTGTATTCACTTCACGCTTGTCAAATTTTGGAGAAAGATAAATATAAGTACATAGAATCGATGCAAATCTTCAATATGTAAGATCCATCAATGACAGTAATGACCAACTGGCAAATAAATATCTACCTTTAAGTGTAGATGGAGCACCAGCACAAAGATAATAAAAGATATGGTATGACCTTTCACCCTCCGTGCATTGAACCACTCTAGACTGTTAATGAAAAATCAAATTAATTATCTAGAGTCACTTAGCAAACCAGCAACAATCATAGTTAGGAGGAGCAGAGAATTACCTTTTCAAGCAAAACTGCATATCAAACATGCACAAGAAACAATAAAATAAAGATCAGCTTTAATAGTTAAGAAAATAGGTAAATACAATTCCATTAAGGGACTTTGAGCAAAACAATGAACTTACAAGTTTGAATTCTGGCACCAGATATTTTTCCAGTTTCACTAAAGTGGATCTCAATCAACTTTCCCTGCAACATGTTTATCAATTTATCAGCCTATGCTGTAAATTCACACTTTTCAACTCTTTCATGATAAATACAGCTACTACCCCTTAATAAAACTTCGTTGACCCAAAGAAAAGAGGGCAAAAGGCAAAGGAGCTTACAAAACGACTTGAGTTGTCATTTCTTAATGTTTTTGCATTACCAAAGGCTTCTAAAATTGGGTTAGTCTTCAATATTTCATACTCTATCCCACTCCCACCTCCAAGTGCAGCCAAATATTGCATTGCAATCTTTGCCGTTTCAGTCTTCCCCGCTCCACTTTCACCACTGAACAAGTAAAGAATGTTAGCAAGTAAAATAAATCCAGGGTATCAATCAAATCAGCACAAGCTTCATCTAATTCACTTGTGAACTTTGTTTCCCAGTATTACGTGATGCTATGTCATTTCAAATTATATAAGCCCTGAATGGGAATTAAAATTTTTCATCATGCACCGCAAAACCACATGAGATATGGTTTTGTAATTCACACCAGAAGTCCATTACTCGATGAACATCACAAATAGGCATTACTCAAATATATTAGTTCAATATATGACAAACATGTTTGAAAGGGAAGAGAAGTTTGCGGGATCAATTAAATCGAACTAATCTTTTATCTGCCCCTCTTTCCATCAATTACTAAGATACTATCCAAAAGAGGCAAGAAAAGCATATACGATAAATAAAATTATATTGTGAACATAGAAAAAGAGCTATCACTAGCACAACTCTGACCAAAAGACAGACCGGACTCTAAAGTCCATATTGCAGAGTGATACTCCACGGCAGATCATAAGACCCATGATATAGTCAACAAGCAATTCTTACACCTCAGTAATGCAGTTCCAAGAAGAACTTAATGAAGACAAAACAAAAGGCCTCACGGATTCCGCAAGGGGTCAAAAGTGAGCACAAAAATAAACAAACAAATATAACTGTTAAAACAAAACTATAATATCTGCAAAACAGACATGTAGGTTCTATTTCTCAAAACCTGAACACAGATAGAAGATTTAACTGCAAATACAATGTTAAATAGGAAGTATTCTGCACTAACCTTATGATGATTGATTGATTTACTTCATCTGGAACAAAGCAAGTAAGATTTTCAAATATTAATGACGATTCTTAAGGCAGGATTCAAATGCTGAAAACATAATTTTAAATTAAAAGTAGTTAAAAAGCCAAACACCTCGTATCATTTCCCTGATGGCTGTATCTGTAATGGCATACACATGCGGGCTTTCAATGGTTTTACGCTTATATGATTCTATATATTCATTTCCGTATAAAGGAACTTTCTTAAAGGGATTGATAGCAACCAACACTGGCCCTGCTTTTGTCTGCAAAGCACACAATTAGAAAATAAAGGCAATAAGAAAAAGAGATTGTGTTAAAGTGAAGTTAGACTACAATTTTAAGAACTTACATAAATCATATCTCGAATGTATCTGTACTCGAGATTGTACAACACTGATGGCTCATTTAAATAACTTAGCTGCATGAGGTCATCTACACCATCAAGGATATCAGGATTGGCTGATACTAACCTATCAGTTTTTACCTTTAAAACCTACAAGTGAGAATTAAAATAAAACTGAATCAAACATCTAACTGCAAACAGACAACCTCATGTTCAAGAGTAGTCAAAGTTCTCTTACTTTCCCATCAGGCAATGAAAAAACAGATTCGGACCCCGATGTTGAAACTATCTTCCCCAACTCCCATCGCCCATTTGGAAGTTGAAACCAAGATTGAAGCTTCTGAAACAGTAAACTTTAAGAAGTGTGTAACTGAAATTACTAAATACCAGATACTATATATTGTTAATGAGTTCCAACTCCGGCAATATCAGTTAGAATATACCAGCTTGAAATTAGGGCTTAATTCTCTGTAACAGAATCTGAAACTCTCATGTCACTTATTTCTAAATCCTTAAAACAAAACCAGGAGAAGAAGTTCTAATGCCATCAAAGAAACAATCAGACATACTAGAAAGATTTGGACGACCAACACCATATAAGAACTTTTATTTTTCTGACCATTTCTCTGATGTAAAAGCCACAAAGGCAAGAACTTCCATACAGATCAAAATTAAGAGAACAAAAATGTGAAGATTCATTTGGGATGACAAACGAGGCAAACAAAAGTTAACAAAGAAAAACTGGAAAAGACTTGGTAAACCATGGAGAAGGAGTATTTGCAAATTTGATATCAAATCCGTATCCTAAATCCTAAAGGAAATTGAGAAAATAAATCCGTGCAGATATACTATGTTTCAACATCATTTCTCGCAATGTCTACAATAACTGAATAATTGCGTGAATATACTCATAGTAACTTAAGTTATAAGCACTACATAATGGAAAACATGATTTTCAGCACTGAATTATTGCACGGGGATACTCATAGTAACTCAGGTTATAAGCACTACAAAAATGGGGAAAAAAAAAATTCAGCACTGCTACCCGATAGAAATGATAATAATTATGATAAGAAGAAGAAGAAGAAGAAGAAGTAGAAGATGACGATGGAAGACAACAACAACAACAAAAGCAACAGCAGCCATCAAGAAATTTCTTCGAAAGCTCAATTATTCAGTATAGTTGTATACGCATCGAAGAACAATACGATATCATGTATCTTTAGAAAATTCAAGTACGTTCCATGACAAATGAAACTAAACCAGAAGCCAGAAACTACCTTCTTTGCAGCATAGGAGGTGGTGTCACCCCACCGATGTTCTCTGCGAGATGCAGAGATTGATGGCACAGGTGGAGCCACAGAATCTGAGTCTTCATCACCGCTTGAGGTCCTGTCTTCAGGGGAAATGATGTTCCTTCTGTAAGGCGAATCCTCATTTACTTGGTCCACGTTGCCAACACTATTCTCAACTCCCTCGACAACCTCATCCCCAGAACCACCATTCTCAGGTATACTTGATGAGGTAACGTCACTGTTTCTTGACTTTGCATCACTGAACTTCTCAAAGCGATCAGACGTCGGTGAACCCATGAACCTAAACTCACCAGGCAACGATTTGATCGACTGGAAGGACAACGGCGAACGGGATTTCTGGGACATTTTCCCTGAAGAGTTCTGGAAAACCAAGATTTAATATCGGAATAAAAAAAAAGGGATCAAAAAGATATACTTTTTCAATCAAAAAAAAGCATATCAAACTTTAACAGGTCCCACTCAAGGCCTTATCAGATTAGCTTAATGGCGGGGACCATGAATTAAGGTTCAGACTCTAGTGCCTTTCTCTTATGGGTCACAACTGACGAGCTTAACACGGGATGATGTTTCCTAAAATCTTCAAGTACATCGCACTAACCAGCACAAGTCGCTGGCAAGATAAATTCAAAAAAAAAAAAATTAAAAAAGAGAGAAAGAAAGAAAGGTACTATTTTGACATCCTGAGATGGTTCAGGAGACAGAAAAATCCTCTGGATTCGTAACAGAGCCTCGACATCTAAGTAATTAGACAATGTCATTCCACACTTACAGATCTTACCTTTAAAGTAATGTTTGGTTGCCAGGAAAAATGTAAAAGAAAATAAACATCATCAGAACTAACTAACAGAAACAGAATCTTCAATTTAACTCGAATAAGCCCCAAAACAACAACAAAATCTTCAACGGATTCTCATTTTCATCAATTTCCACCATTTTTTCCGAAGCGGAAAACAGAGAGTACAAATTTTCAGAGACGGATACCAATAAATTCAAACCGATCCACTCACCTCAGGAAAAACCGAAGCCGAGTCAGAATTTCGCCGAGACCTTCCGATCGACGGTAGAAATTGCTAAAAATCTGAGCCAAACAGTTCGATAATTGCTCTGTCAAAGCTGTGAGTTTTGACGGAGAAAGTTTCAAAGAAACACGCAAGGACGAAGACCGTGTAATACGAAGCTTCTGAGGTGAAACCCTAGAAATCTTGAGGAGCTTGTGAAGAGCAATGAAGCTGCGTAGTGAGAGTCTGACAATGGATGTTTGGAGCCCGAGAAAGTAAGGAGGGAAAATGAAAAAAAATCCAAGGCGTGTGGAGAAGAAGCAGATTTTTTTTTTTTTTTTTAACCTCGGCTTCACACACAGTTCACAAAATAAAAGAAATTTGGATTTTAAATTTGAATTTTATTATTAAATTGGATTTATTATTTATTTCTATGGCATTTAAATTTCGGGCTTTTGGCACCAACCAAATTTAAACAACACTTTTAACGGTTTTACTTTGTTATTTTTGTTGACGAAATTGCCCCTGCCGTTATGCCACCACATTCCACAAACGCATATACGCCTAGATGCCGGTGGCATATGGCACAAAATTATTGTTCTTAATTAAAAAAATATGGGATATTTACATTTTGTACCCTTTATTTTAATTCTATACAAAAATTATACTCTCTATTTTTAATCTCATCAAATATATATTTTTAAATTAAAATTAATAGATAAATATCTACTTATTAATATATATATACACACACTTGACACCATCGTTCTTCCGGTGGGCACATCTGCGCCGTTCATCTTGTGAGTTACCAAGCAACGAACCTATTGAGCTAGATCCATAGTGCAATGATTGTTTAAGGATTTGGTTTATGTGAACTTGTTTGTGGAGGAAATTTTGGTTGGATCTATTTGCTTATGATGCCGGTTGAAAAACAAATTTCTTGGAGCAAGATACTTGAGCCCCGTTCATTTTATTGATTTGAGTTTTATTACAGTAAAAAATTCTCAGAAACAGTCGTATCTAACTTTTTTGCTACAGTAAAAAATTCTCACATAAAGTTACATCTCAACTCAAATTGATATGTTCTTAATTTTGAATTTATGAATTTTGTTTTACGATTTTTTTTTTCTTGAAAGCCTAGCCTGATTTAGAAGGACACAATAAGGGGCATTGGGTGGGTGAAGCTGGTCGGGCATGGTGGAAAGTGGCATGGAAGATGGCAGTGGAGGTGATGAGAGATTAGAGTTTTTGTGTTTTTATTATTCTATTATATTTAGTTTTTTATTTTTTTCCCTTTTTATTATATTTGAGGGTATTTTAGGTATTTCAAAATTAAAACTAAGTATTGATTAAGAAAAAGGTATAAATTTATGTATTAAATCTAATTTAAAAATATGCATTTGACGAGATTAAAAATTAAAGATATACTTTTTGAATAAAACTAAAATAGAGGGTATGAAAATGTAAATATCCCGAAAAATATTTCCTACATATCTTTTTTTTTTTTTGAAATTGCTATATATCTTTTGACATAAAATAAAAATCTAAAAAATAGGAAAATTTGTTTTCTATATATATTTTATTTTCCATTTATAAGAATTTGAGTAATTTTCATCTTAACAGCGATAGTATAAAAACTTTCTGTATATCTTTCATTTGTCATTTATAAGAATTACATTTGTTCTTTTCACGACTTAAATTCTTTTATTACAATATTTTCTCTTACAAAAATTTAAATTTAAATTTTTTACTATAATATTTTCTTTTATATAAAAAAATATTGAGTTGTGAAAAGAACACAATTTTTTTTCAAGCTTTGACAGCTTGCCCTCTTAACTTATGATTTTCGCAATTTAACATGCTTCCCTCTTCACAACATGTTAAGGGCCCATTTAGTTCATGAGTTTGAACCAATGATTTTTTATTCTGACTTTTAAAATTTCAATTTTTTACAAGAGAAAAACACTATAACATAATCAAAATCATAAAACAAAAAACACCCTAAACCGTTGCAATGTAACCCATTTTAGAGATGATTGTTAAATAGATGATGAAAAATCATGTTCTACTCAATCCTTAACAATCCTTCAAATTTGATATAAATTCATAACAAAATTGATAAAATGGACTACATTACAATATTATAATATATTGGAAGAAAAGCCGTTAAATTAAAAATTAATAAGACAAGTTTTCAAAGTATGAAAAGTTTGGAGGTCAAATGTACCTAAAACACAAATATAAATATATATATATATAGGTGTGTGTGTTTCTCACTCCGTTCAGTTCGCTGATTCGAGTTGATATGTGACTTTATGTGAGAGCTTTTTACTGTAGCAAAAAAGTTAAATGCGACTGTTTTTTAGAGCTTTTTACTGTAGCAAAACTCGAATCAGTGAAATGAACGGGGCCTAAAAATATGATTACAACTTCTACCTGTTATTTTATTTAAATAATATTATAATAATTATATTATTTATTTTTGTAGAAAACATAATTGACAAAAAAAAAAAAGTAACAAGTGGACAATCCTCCGTCCAAAGTCCTTCCCAACTATCTGCCTATCCCACTAGACTACAATTTATTTTAGAATAAAATAATACATTTTGATTATTGACACTTTATTTTTAAAGTTTTATTTGTGTTGCTCAATTTTTGACACCTTTTCTTAATTTTTTAAAAAATGATTAAATCAGTATGTTATTATTTTACTGTCTGCATATTATAATAATTATATTATTTTTTATGACAACCATTCTAATTTTGAGTTAAAATAAATACATCAATGTGATTCATTGTGATTCTGATTTGTAGTTTAGTAACCTATAATCAAGTTGTTCAAACTTCGAATCCTTCTCATTTTAGTTCTTTCCAATTCCGGTTTTCGATTATGAGTAAATAACAATCCATAAGGATGCCACTTGTTTAGAGGTGTCAAACGTGTCGTGCCGGGTCTGACCCTAAGCCCGTCACGTGTCTGGACGGGGCCAGGCACGGCCCTGAATAATTCTGAACCGTGCCTGGGCTGGGTCTGAGGGAAGACCCTCAGGCCCAGCTTGGGCCCAGACCCTTCACGAGCCGGCGCTGACCTTTTTAATATTTTTTGTAATATTTAATGAAAAAAAAAGAAATATATCATATACCCCCAAAATATGTGATTTTATTGAATTGAAGTAATACGAATAAGTACACATAAATGATTGTCTCGTTAAAAACCTTGCTAAGTAAAACCCGTGGAGAGATCGGAACAAAACCTTAGCGAAGGAAAAAAGAGTGCAATATATAAGGATAAGTAAATTACAATGTGGCCAAATTGCTTCCAAAATATTATGTTATGTCTAAGTTTGAAAAATATTCTTGAAGTGTATCATCTTTGTAGTGTTGTTTTCGTCTTCTGGCATCTTCTCAGTCTTTCACGCACATTAGCCCTTCCAAGATATCGGGGTACATTCTGCTCCTCTTCTCGTTAAGAATTCAGTTGCTTGCTCTGATACTACTGTTGATACTGGAGTTATCAGAATGTCATGTGCTATCATGGACAGTGTTGCAAAATGATCTCTCTTGCTCTTCCATCACTGTAAGATGTCCAGTTTGTCATCATCAATTACAAAATTATATTCAAAATATTTTTACTAGTTGTGAAGACGCTTGTGTTGATAACGATCCCGATGCTTTCTTCTTCCTCTTCAAGAAGTTCCATGATGATCCTTTAGGCCCCGAACTGCTCCTTGATGTTGAAGTTGCCTGTTCTTGCTGTCATGTTCCGTATTTTGTTTCATACAAAGTAAACAAGTTTTCTAACATTTTCCTAGCCTCTTTTATGGTTAGTTGCATATCAATACCTAAATTATCAACTGTAGTAGACATCAAACATTCGGTCTCATCTAATCCGCATCTAGCATCTAAAAAGATTGTTAATGCATATAACATAGGACAACCGGTCTAATAACTTTTAAATTTAGCTTCCATTTCATTAACTATGGGTCCAAAAAGATTAGTATCCCTATAAAATGCAAAGGTTTCTGAAATATTAAATAATTGATGCAAAGCTAGATGCGCGGTAGGATAATAAACACTAGAAAGTAATTCAGTAGCATTGTTGAATACTTCTAAAAATTTAATAAAGTACTCACCTATCTTCCAATATGCATCGTAAATAAAATGCTCACTCTGCTTACTATTCACATACGTAGTGATGATCTGTTATACAGAATTGCAGTCTTTAACATTAAATAGGTAGAGTTCCACCTATATCTCACATATGTTAGAAACTTTCTTGGCCGCATATGGCTGTTCCTGTAATATTGTCAAAATTCTTAGAGCCGAGCTCCAGAACTAGATATGAAAGATAACTATTCTCTAATTTTTGTTAGATGAGGGGATATAGATTCAATTCCTGCTTGTACTACTAAATTTATCATTTGACATGCATACCATTGATAAAAAATTTCACCACCAAAAGGTGATTTCAAATTAGCTTTAAACATATTAATAGCAACTGTGTTAGCTGATGCATTATCAAAAGTAATTGTTAAAACTTTATCTTCGATCCCATAAAAATATAAAATTTCCATTATAGTTGAAAAAAATAGCATTTACGTTATGAGAAAATGGACATAAACGAAAATCAATTATTCTCTTTTGTAAAACCCAGTCCTCATCAACATAATGCGCCGTGATGCATAAATAACCAGTTTTATTGCACCCCTCCCAAAGATCAAAAGTACAAGAGATTGAAGCATTGAAAGACCTAAAATTATCAACTAGAGATTGTCTTATTGCATAAAAAACTTTCATGCAATCAGCTCGAGTAGTGTTTCTACTTACCTGTTTAAATAGTGGACAAAAGGTCTTTTGAATGAATTCTTCAAATGATAAATCATCTGCAAAAGACAAAGGTAATTCGGCACTAGCTAAAAATTTAGCTAGTGCCTCACGAGCCCGTTGTGCATCACATGTAAAATTTTGTAAACCTTGTGATGTGAGTGAAAATGTTTGTTGGCAGGAGTCCACACTACCACCTTAGTGCAACAATAGACATGCTTTCTAATGTCTATCAAGATAGCCAATACCACCACCCTTTTTGTTAGAAATGTGTTTTTTACAATATTTACATACCACACGCATTTCAACTTCACCTGATTTAAGATTAGTCCGTAGCTCCTTGGTGAAATGTTGCCATGCAGGAGCAGTTTGTGGTCTTTTTCTCTTGGCACGTTCTCTAACTTTCTCATTGTGCACCGATTGATTATCAACCGAAACAATATACAGTTTAGTGGGGCTGGAGTTGTGCATCAACATTTCATCTTCATAAAATGGTTGATCTCC